TAAAAGAAACCAATCTAGACGGGGCTCAAGCTTAATGAGAACTCTAAAATACCATTTTAAGGTAATTCCCCTGAAATAAAACTGCACATAGATTTTTGTTCAAGCTTTGTGAATATTTATCATATGAGAACTTTAATTATAAAATACAAAAGGGGGTGCCCATGCTCGTTAAGGAGCTGTCAGGCATTGAAAATGTCCCATTTTAGCGTTATTTAATGCTTATTACAAGAACGCATTCCAAGTTATTGTAAACTTTTGTGAGCCCAGACTCATGAAAACACGCCTCAGACTACAGTCAATACTTGTGTCGGACACAAATAAACTTTTTAAGTTTGATTTTGACAGACAGCTGAATCCTTGTTTAAATATTGGAACCAAATTGCTTGCAACGGTTATCAAACTGCAAAATAGAAAAGACTACAGTGCAGCTGCTAATTTCCTTATTTATTCAATTTTCAGCAATAGAAATCAGATCAATCTTTTCTCACGCAAAGCTAATGATTAGTTGATTAAAATGACTGGAAAAAAATTTGGGGTGCCTGAGCTCGTTAGTGAGCTATAGCCAATTTTTCAACCGACAGAACTCAATATCAAGGCAAATCCGCCATGTTTCCAATGTGCGCGTGCACGAACGCGCGCTAATGACCCCATAAATTATGCGCAGTAGGGATGCGCAATGCAAATGTGAGGAATCACCTTAATATGGTAACTGTAGAGACTTACCCCATGCGTCAGGGCCAATCTAAACCCATATAATAACTTCCAGTAGCCACAAAAATATTTACGCTTTCCAAAAGTATTTATTCAGAGTATCATGGTTCACCTCTGATAAACTACAACGCCTTATTGTCCAATTGCCGCTCGATTATCTGTCAAGTGGTCGCTTACGGGAGGTTAAAAACAAAAGAAAATTTCAAACTTTTAGCTCTAAAAGTGGTCGCGGTCGCTTATGAGAGGTGGTCGCTTACAAGAGGTTCCAAAGATAGCGATTTGACTTGGAAACTTTTGGTAATTTGGAAAGCTGGTCGCTGAGGAGAGGTGGTCGCAACCGGAGGTTCGACTGTATTTTGAAAATTAACACATTTTACGGAGAAAGGTGTTGAATAATAGCATTTTAATGCAGCGAGAGCTATCTGCTTTCCCTTTAGCTCCTGATTACCTGCATAAGTTGTCCAGCGCAGGTTACTGATTACTGTTGAGTGTCGGTGACCTGAAAGATGCCCAGAAGATGTTAGCACCGCTCCCGGGGGGAGGGAAATCCCATTTGAAAAGGTCGGGGATGCTCGTCAGAAAATTTGAATTGAACCCTTAAAGGATACCATGCAACATGGGTGTGATTTGAGCTTTATTTGATCCCAAAAAGATACCACTTAAAAACAGAATAGGCTTGATTACCAGCCGCTGTCCAGGAAAGGAGCCCGCGCTAGTAGACAGCCTGCGTTGCAGCTGGACGTGTCACAAAATGCTTGGTAAACTGTCTGCGTTGCATGTTATAGATCGTTTTCATTGTCACGCAAAAAAAAAAAAATCAAAAACCATTCAGTGGATAAGGTCAAGAAATTGTGATCTTACAGAAGATAAATAAAGAAGACAGTTCTCCAAGTTTAAGGTGTGTGCGTTGAGATATTCGTCGAAATCTTCCGTGCAAATTTACAGAACCTAGTGTGGAGCCGCCATGTTGGTGTTCCCCTGTGGTACACCAATATGACGGCCGGAAAATAGTGTTAACATCTGGAACTTACTTTGGTTATCTGGGACAATGATTATCTGCACTGAACAAATAAACATTTAAATAAGCACTTTTCCAAATACGATTTACTACATTGTATAATATCAGCAGGAATTGATTTCTTTCGGTCAACTTCGTTCCCATGGTTCTTTCCATTCCGCGGACGGGGAGGACGTAAGGCCCTGGGATTTTGGTAGATTTCAATCTTGCATGGAATCATGGGCCATGGGTGTTCTTTTTACAAATATTCTCTTCCTCAAAAAGTGAGAGCTCGCTACACTACGGAGTGCTATAGCAAGTTGATTCTACGTTTTAGGGTGATTCTTTTCCTGTCCAAGTTCAAGACATGTTTGACAAATTTGTGATACAGATTGAGGTGGCCAGGACGTAAAGCAGTCATCAAGGACAAGGTGTCCCGGACGCTTCCAAATAGAAACTGAAATTTTGGCCGACACAGGTAAGCTACGTTACTTTATCGTATATAAGGACTTATGAGGTATAAATGTAGTTTTATTCTGACCCCATCAGTAAGTATATTCTCTGAATCTGTTTGAATCTTACACTAATTTTTATTCTCACGTCACTGATTGCTTAGTATTTCAATTTGGTAACGAATTTTAAGGCTAACTGGGACCGTTCATAACTTCCGGGATTATTTTCAAGGCGTAAGAATTTATCATTTCGATCGTCGATAAAGATCGATCGTGGTCGGTTGAATTCGATACTAATAAATTGGAAAATGTCGGAGATCGGTAAAAGTCGATCACACGATTTCTTGCGATTATCGGGATATTAAAATAAAATAGATGCTGTATGGCCACAGACAAGACTTTAGTTTTTCAAAAGTGGATAAATAAAGCAGGCTGGACTATTGTACCGATTTTACACTGTTATTACAAGCTCAAATAAACATTACCAGAAAGCAGAAACTGAACTTCCTCTTTTTTCCAGCGAAGGTAATTCATTTTCAGTTATAACATGACTTATGTGTCTCGTTTGTTTATATTGATTAATATCTACATTTCTTGCCGCCTTGTCACGCTGCGTCACGCAGCTTTTGTCATTCTGTGCTGTGAGCCCGGTTTACTTGGCAGGCCCGGTTACCAAGATCTCACCCCGTGTTCATGTGAGGTGAGCCAGCGGCCAGCTCGGTTACCCGGCGAGATCACCGAGATCTCGCCAACCGGAATGAAAATTTTCCCTTATGAACACTCAAGCGCAGGTAGTTTTTTGACAAAATAACTTCGCTTTCGCAACATAGCAACCAAAATGGAATAATTTTTGCCTTCTATGTATTTCCACTTCAGAAGTTTGCGAATTAGCTTTACTAGTAAAGTCACAAGGGGCAACAAGGCTACGCTAGTCGCGCACGATGCAACTTAATATGGCGCCATTTGACCGAGCTGAAATTTCCCATATGAACAGACAACAAAATTCACCCTGGGGGGTACTCCCATATGGAAAGGTCGGGTATGCTTGTCGTCTCGCTTATAATTAGGGGTATAAATAAAGAATTCCGGTCTCACTTAGGGTACTGTTGACGAAACGCTTCTTTTTAAGCTATATTATTAATAACAGAAACGCTCTTATTTCTGTTGTTAGGCTCGATTTCCGCCGGTCCCTCGAGTACGGTCTACTAGCGAGGGCTCCTTTCCTGAACAGCGGCTGGTAGTCGAGTTTATCCCATTTTAAGTGATATCTTCTCAGCGGTGAAATAGAGCTTGAACCAGACCCAGATTGGTCTCCTTTAGGGGCTTAATTAAATTTTTCCGAGGAACACCCCCGACCTTTGCATATGGGAGTTTCCCCCCCCCCCGGGAAAAATTCGTCAAGATAACTGACTTAACCCGGTTACCGAGCTCACATGAAGAGGTCCTAAACCTGATAAAATTCCACTTTTAAAGAACGCAACCGTAAAAAAAAAAACCAAAACTTGAATTTGTCAATATTTCATTTACAATTATAGCGCTCTTCGCCTCCTGTTGCCTTCCAAACGATCAAAACCTGGTACAGCAAGGACAGGCGCAAGCAGAAGTTTGCAAATCGGGCGAATTTAGCGAAGCTGCCAGACACAACTTGCAGTCGTAACAGTGTATATCTTAAAACTGTTGAACTTATGAAAACTCATGAAAACACCGATGAAAATGAAGTGCCAATCACTTTGTCTGGCCACGCTTTTTATATGTCCACGGTTTTTCAGTTCCGCTCCTGATGGTCTAAGGCAGCGTTCACACTACGCCGAAGAAATTTGGAAACGCAGCTTCATTTCTCCGGTTAGGCCTGCCTTCAACACTAATCGGTCACGAAAACGGAGCTTTTGGAAAACGCTCTTCAAACTGGAGAAATTTGAGAACGCCGGATTTGCGTTTTAGTGTGGACGGAAATCAATTTGAAAACGGAAGTTTTGAAAGCAATAATCATATGATTAAGCTAACCCCCAGNCCCCCCCCACCTCTCTTTTATGGCGCACTCAAGCTTTCCTGCCCCTGTTGATTGTTGCGTTTTCAAATTTCTCAAGCGTAGTGTGGCATATGGACGGAAAGCATCGTTTTCGAAAAGTTCTGTTTTCAAATTGTTTCCGTCCACACTAAAACGCAAAGCCGGCGTTTTCAAATTCCTTCGGTTTGAAGAGCGTTTTCGAAAAGCTCCGTTCCTCTGCTAAAGGGACAATTTTTAGGAGAGAGTCTAACTTTTTGTTGACCTCACTCGCGCGACACCATCTTGGGAATTTTCACCGCCAGATCCGACAGCGTCATTCAGATCTTCGTCAGTTTGCGATCCATTATCTCTTTAAGTTGAACTATTAACGCTCTGCTCTTTATCCATTTTGTAATTAGTACCTGAAGGTTGGAGCTGTCGCCTACGAGGGCGACATTACGGAGCGCTTCAGAACACCTCCGAACTGAAGCACGATACACTTTCTGATCCCTTCTAGTTTTGCTCCTGACCAAATTAATTTTGCATTGGCAAATCTTGTTTTTTCTTTTATCGCACTTACGTTGTGACTCCATAGTGTAAACAGAACTAATAGCGCACCCGTTCGGTGTACCTTTCAGACCTTTCAGCTTGCCATTCCTTGATATCTGTCCGTAGTTTGCACTTCAATGCTTTACCAATTCCTTTTGTTCATGTGAATAAACTGAAATTTAAAAATTTGGATGCCTTGCTATATTTTAGAAAGTTTGAGCATTCGCACCCAACTGGTGAGAACAGGGAGATCAAGTTTGTTTCAAACTGTGCTATGACATTGATTACATGAAAAATGTTTAAACTTGTATTATCTGGTGTTTGGCGTGTACAGGTAAATGAGTCATATTGCTTTCTTGTATTTTGTTTCAGTGAAAGCTGTTTCTGGGACAAACACAAAACACTATTATTTACAAGAATACAAGAATTGTAAGCATGGAAGAGCAGTCCTTTCCAGGAGAGGATGATGTAAGTGATCAGTCACAGGATGAGAAGATACGCAAGCTACATAAAGCAATAGAGAATGGGGATACAGACGAGGTGGTCCAGATTGTTAATGACAGTGATGACGTTTTGTCTCTGTTAAACAGACCATTTGGGCCTGAGGACTCAATGGGGCCTCTTCATTTTGCAGTGACCAAGAATAGACAAGAGATATGCCAGTTACTGATATATCTAGGGAGTGACGTGAATCTGCAGAATGAGGAGAACCTGCAAACTCCTCTGCATATGGCTATAGATACTAGTGTAGATGCTGCCATTGTGAACTTACTGCTTCAGAATGGTGCCTCTACTGAGCTCTATGATGAGATGGACTGCACTCCATTCCAGCTCTTGTTCTTGGAGCCTGGTCCTGAGAATCAGTTCCAGTTTGAGAAGTTCCAGTTCTTACTGGAGGCAGGAGCATCAGTGAACACTAGAGCGGCTTTTGGTGCTCAGCCGCTCCATAATTCTGTGAAGGCCTTCCACTCCGCCAAGTGTGAGCAGAAACATGATGCGGATCAGACTCCTATGTGTGTGAGAGTGACGCAGATGATTCTCGAGAAAGGTGGAGATGTTAACTGCCAAACCAGTTCGCATGAGACCCCTCTTCACTTTGCTGCAGGAGATGGCTGTGATGATATCGTGAGGTTTTTGCTGGAGTCTGGTGCCCTAGTCAATGCAACAAATCTCAGCGGGGAGTCAGCGATATCTCACTTAGCTCGCCATAGTACTCCTCCATTCTCTGACGTTGTGGAAGACCACAACAGGTTTATTCAGAAGAGGATAAAGACTCTGCAGCTGCTGCAAGCCTATAATGGTGACATCAATTTCAGCAACTCTATGGGAGACACCCCACTGCATTGGCTTCTGGCAAACCCCTCTGATTTTACACCGAGGATGCTGGAAGAGCTCATCAAAGCTGGTGCTATGGTGAATGCCGTCAACACTAGGCATGAGTGTGCACTTCATTATCTGGATATGTACCCTGCAACTGGCTATGGCAACCGCCAGGCTACTCCCACAGTCAAAGAAGCCATAGTTCAAATGATGGCAGCCAATGGGGCTGATGTAAATTTAAGAAACATAAATGGGCACACACCCCTGTTTGCAGCACTTCAGAGGAAAGAGCAAGATTTGGTTGAAGTACTCTTGCAAAATGGAAGTAGACTGGACATGCATGACAGATTTGGAAGGATTTGTCTTCATTTCATAGAAATGAATGACATGGATAGATCGTTGAGTGCTATGTTGATGAAAGCCGGTGTTCCCGATGATATCAGAGATGTAAATGGGATGACGTGCTATGAAGTCAGTAAAACCATTACATTCCATCAGCCTTTATCTAAGAAACAGCATGTAAAGGACGATACATGCCACGCTGAGCCTTTTGATGAATTTGATCGGTTATCAAATGATGAAAAGAAACAAAATCAAGATGATGATTCAAGTCATAATCTCCAGCTTGGAAGTGAAATTCAAAAAGAGCTTACTAATACAGAGAACATTGCATTTAATGAAGACGAAGATGATTCAGATGATAGTGAGTGTGACATAAACCTGGATGTGTTATCACCTCTGGAAATGGAAGTATTGGCCCTACGATTTGGTGCTGGAGTAGGTGACGACGATGATGATCCAGATTCACATCTGGCCAAAATCTTGGGAGCACTGCTGACCCCAATAGACAAAAACCTCAATGTGGACAATCATGTAGCCAAATTAAAGTCACAGTTGGGTGACATTGAATCTCTGTGCCTTAGCTATTTGTCTGACCCAAATGAAGGACCTGTGAAAATGACAGAAGAGTTGGAAATCATAAAGGAAGAAATCAACACACTGATGGGTAGAATTGCCAGAGGTGTGAAGGAGCTAGACACCAGAATGGGATTCACACCTGTTCTTTCTGGCAGTATGAGTGAGGGAACCAAAATCGGGAGAATGGACGAGTTTGATTTCCTCTTGTACATGCATTCTGTGGCCGAGTTGTTGGACATAAGAGAAGCTGATGACACAATACCAGGATTTGTAAAAATGAATGCTAAGCCAGACCTCTCCAAAGGCCAAAGCCAGGATATCTTCATTGGCGACAAGTTAGTGGCCTCGGTCTTTGGCCGCTATCTATACAGTCTCATCCAAAGGGTTCTTGGCAGAGAGGACACCTGGCTGGATCTCCACTTCTACTGGGACAAGGGCCCCCTAAAAGTATCTGCAGCAACTTCACAAGTCTGCAACCTAGAATTGAGATGGGTGGGTAGAGAGTACAACAACCTGTCCATATCCGTGGATCTAGCTCCAGTCATACACCTCCAGAACTGGTGGCCAAAAGCTGTGGTAGAACAGACCCTACTGCTACCAAAATCTGTGAAGAATTATGGCTCATTGATTGTGGTCTGTAAAGCAGCACCTGCAGAGCCATTTGAGGGAGGCCATGAATCTTACTTCAGATTGTCCTATTCTCATATGGAAACCAGGATTTTCAATTCTCTGCCACTTGACATCAAGTACAGCTACGTTCTTGCTAAGATTCTGATGGAAAATATATCAAAGCTGGTACCAAATCACCACAGTGGAAGGACAAACATTTCCAGCTACATGTTGAAAATGGCATTCTTCACTCAATATGAACATTTTCTTAAGTCTGGAAATCAAAAGAACAAACAGATTCAGTCATTTTCTGAAGAAATTCCAGTCGAAAATGTAAGGCGCCTCACATCCTCAATGTTTGCCCAACTGGAGAATTGCATTAAGAGCAGAAATTTGCCATCATTCTTCCTCCCGCCACAGAATATCATACGATACCATTCTCGGATATCCATTGCTGACAGAGAGATATGTATGATCCTTCATCAACTTTTGAAGGTGACAACCTAATGTTGTAGAAGGTGGCACCGCTTTACAAAGGTATTATGCACCAAACTAGTATAACAATATTGCCGGAACAGTCGGGGACGAAGTACCAGTTAATCTCCGTGAACGGACTGAACTGACTTGCTGTCTTTGTTATGAAGAGGCTAAGCAACTCTCGATACTGGGGCCATTCTTTGATTGGAGGACTAGCAGCGGTGTCTTGATGAGTTTACTCCGAAAATAACCCAAACTCATCCGCATGTATTCCTCCTAGTAAACACCAGATGAAGTTTCTTAGGATTCGAATGAAACCTGAGCAGCCCATGCAAACGGTACTGAGAAAATGCTTTGAACTTTTAACTGGAATTCAGTACAACTGCAGCTCACGAAAACTGAGTACAATTGTGGTAGTTTGTTGCGCTGTACTCGGAGCTGAACATTTACATCTTTGGATAAAACTCTAGTGAGTGACCTAGCTATTGAGCTGTACTTTCATGTGGTACTGTTTATTATGCTGTACAAGGCGATTCTACCTTTTAAGTCTCTTGATGAAACCCTAGTGTGTGACCATTCAAATGAAAGCTATTGAGCTGTAAGTTCATGCGGTACTGTTCATTATGCTGTTCTAGGTGATTCTACCTTTGAAGTCTGTGGATGAAACCCTAGTGTGTCACCATTCAAATGAGAGCTACTGAGCAGTGCTTTCATGTTCTACTGTCTATTATGCTGTACAATCATTGTGCTTCGGTTTTACATGAAACTTGGCTACTAAGCAAGAATGTTATTATAACGTCTATTTGCCTGTTGAAAACCCTAGAGTGTGTCGTAATAAATAGACGCTATTGAGTAGTACTTAAATTTAGCTCTGCTATTTTTTTAGGAGTGCCGACTACATACATATTCTGGGAATTCCTGCTGGTGAACAGTAAGAATTTTCTAAGGTGACACCCTCAAACACGAGTGGGAACAGTCCATTTTACTCCCGTTTATTGACTTCCTTAATTTATAACTGTTACAGCAAGAACTACACATTAATTTCAACTGCTACTCTAAATTAAGATAACAGATTTAAAACTTTAAATTTCGATAAATTCTCATCTTGGATACAATTTTAATTAATACATTTCGCCAGAATAAATTAATATTCATCCACGCAATGAATTTTGTTGCACAATAATTTCACACATATCAGTATGCTATTATATATCATACGTTATAAGTATTTGCAAATTGAAAAATGTCTTACTTAGAGAATTAAATCAGATTGGACTGTTCAAGCATTGTCATGTACATCTTCGGTTCATCACGACTAATTATGC